CTTTCTTGAATAATTTCTGTAATTCTCAAATTACACTGGTCAACGCTAGCTATTTGGCTTTTTACACACATCTTTGAAAATGTGGTTTACACTGTAGTGCCTTTGTATGATACCCACATTCATATCCACAAAAAACATTGATCTGATTTCTAGACTTACAGCCTCTGGACAAGCCAGGAGAAAGAGCTTTGCTAACCAACAAAGTGGGAGCCCAGCCTTTTGTCCCAACATTAGACAATGCAAGGTGGACAATGATAGCTGGACTCAAAGAACTGCACCCTGTTCAGATTAACTGCCTTCCTTCAAATACTGTCAACAAAAATCCATGTAGTTGTGGTAGAGCAAATATTGTGGTTTAAAAATTCTGCATCAAAAAGTTTGTGATATGGTTTAGCCAGAGCTTCCCACTGAGCTTCATATTGGACTGCACAATTGTGCCTTCCACTCCCCCAAGTACATCATTTGATACTACCAACACAGTACACCAAAATGCTGATAGACAGCTSAACCACAACCATTCTCAGCTATATTCCTGCTGGAGAAAAAACCCTCAATCTACAGTTCGACTGACATAATCCTTCATCTGGACCGACACAATCCTTCATCTGGACCAACATCAAAAAGAATTTATGTACCTGAGAGATGAAAACCTTTCAGAATAATTTTATTGGACCTAGTCTTTTTGATGAAGTATTATATAAGAGAAGAAAAGACAGTAAACAAAGGGCATTGAACAGAAATATTTTGAGGATAAGTTCTGCTTTGCTTGCATGTGGCCCCTTTATTTCTGAGTTTTCTTGTACCCTCACCTGTCAACTTCCCAGAACCCAGATGAAATTCTGTCACAAAGAAGTTGTTAAGGGTTGAAAAGTCTGTATTAGTAGGGATTAGAAGGGGAGAATTTAAAATTACTAACTTCRCACATTTTTTGTATTCCTACTATTAGAAAGAGCCTAAAACCCCTTTATTTTGTCCTCTCTACAAGCACAAAAAAGAAACCACTACAGTGTTTTCACCAATGATCTTGCAACATAAATACTGCAAAAGATAAGAAATGGGATACTACAAGAAAACAACGAAAAAAGATAGTGTGATATGAAGATTTCAAGGACTGCTGGAAACACATATAGAAACAGAAAAAGAATTTTAAGGAGGGATGCTTTGGGAATAGCAAAAGCCTCCTGAGCTTCAAAAAAAGTGCAGGGAAAAGTTTAAAAAGAAAKGCTGAAAAAATTAGCACATGGGAAATGAAAACTCAGGTTTAATGAGGATATGAATGAGGGATGAGAGTCAGTACAAAAAATATGTATAAATGATGAGAAAGAAGAAAAGCCACTTGGAAGCAGCGAGAAGCTTTTGTACAGCATTAAGTGTTCCTACTACTAATTTTTCTGGCCTACTATGGATACAGATAAGAACTGGAAACTTTTATGGATTTACATTTTACAGGAGATTGAGTATGTGAACTCATACAGTATATTATGTTATTTCTAGCTTGACTTTGCAAAAAAAAAGCCTAAACTGGTTTATACCATGAATATTTATCACTATTCTACTTTGCATAATATATACATAGGTTTATATATAGGTTGGAATTCTTAGTATTGAGYCAATTATATGGAATTTTACAGACTAGACTGCATACAATCTAGATTTCCCAGAAAGCATTAGTGAATGTAAATTCATTTGAGATTTCTATCAGMTATTCTGACTACTGTCATTCTATTGGCAAGTATGTTTCAGTGAAGAAACAGATAAATTTGGAATTAAAAATATTAATCAATAACTCTCTTTCCACACTCATATATTTCTTTTAGGTAACTTTATGTCAATCAAGTTGAAACAATGACTCAAATGAAGACATCTTGGCATATGTATCTATTATTCCTTCTATAATGTGGTACTCCCACTGGTTTTCATGGAAATTATGCATATCAAAGGACTGCATTATTAGGCTAGATTAAGACAAGACATTCAGAAATACTTAACTCATCATTCCACTTCAGAACCTAATATTTAAAATGGCACTTGAGCCTGGAGCAATGTAAACAAAAGCGCAAAATACAACACCTGGAAACATGCTATGGGTGGATTTTTCTAAACTTTTTTCACTAAAAAATTGAATTGAATTAAAACTATTTTCCTTGCTTTTTGATAGATGTCCAAAAAAAGAAATATTAATCAGATTACTTCAAAAGACCTGCAATATTCCTAAACCTGAGAGGTCATGTGCCAGTAAGAGGACAGTAAAAGGGTTACATKGCAAATATATGAACCAGATGTCTGTGTAGCCACGTAAAGGTCCTTAAAATTTTTCTTGGTAGACCTATATATTTTCTAACAGATTATATTGACCCTGATTCTCTGGAAGCATACCCAGGTATTTTAAACTCTTCAGATACATGATTTCCATTTCAGCTTCAGAAGTGCTGTTCTCCTCCCACACCATGACAACTCAAGGATARTATGAACTATCTTCCTCTGACCCAGGAAAGATACTGGGCCCTTCCTTTCCCAGAGCTAAAAATGAATGGATCTCCACTTTACTCTAACAGATGGGGTAGACACAATTGGCTCTTTCCCAGACGCATAGTTCAGATGTAGAGTAGTCAGTCTTCTAGGCCAGTTAAAACGGGCTAACTTTCTAAATGTTTCTTTTTTTGTTGCTTTTTGTTTTACCTAAAACATACAGCTGCACAGTTAATGCTGGTCTGCAATTTTTGGTTGCTAGTAACACCCTTGCCACTTTCGTAAAAAAGTATTCTCACCTGCCTGTCATAGTGCCTCAAATTCAGATTGTCCAATCTGACTGGAAAAGTTCAGATTTTAACTTCTAGACACCCAAGCTACTTTACACCACAGGCACTGGCTACGCTTTTGACTGTGCCATAATGCTTCTACAACTTGAAACAAACCTCTGAGGACTGGACACTTCATATATTCTTTCCAGTTTGATGGCTCACATCTGGACATCACTAATCAGGTCAGTCACAGGTACTTATCTTGAGARATAAGGATATTGGAAACAAAATCCATGAAGAATCCTTCTATCCTTGAATTAAAAACCTATTAAAACACATGTAGCACCTTTCTAAATTGTACTAGACTAYATTCTGGGTTAAAAAGTGTCTTTGTACCCACAACATGCAAGTCATAGTGTTAAAATTTTCTTAGGGAAACTAGATTTTCTTAAGAAGTGACAAACCACATTTCATAAGTGGTAATATAGAACTGACATGGTATTTGAAACCATGTCTAAGTCCAGAACACTGCACTTCGAGAAAGTAGAAATAATGAGAGTACAGGGCATAGCAAGCAGAATTTTAAAAAAAAAAAAAGACAAAAATACTGAGGTTTTTTTTCTATAAAGAAGAAAACAATCAACAGGAATTGTTTAAAAGAATAACACAGTGAAAACATGACTAAGACTCTCAAATATGTAAGAGTCTGGTGCAAAGAGGAAAATAAAATCCTATAACCACCAACTAACTAAAACAAGCTAATGGGTTCAACTAATTTACTTTTAGCAAGTTAAGTTTAAGACCAGAAAGCACGAAAAATGTTCTAACGGAAAAGACTAGTGAAATAGGGAAATAAATAACTTACTTAGGTAAGTAATCATAACAAATCGTTAGGCAAACAGGCAATTGCTCATTTTAAAAGACAATTTTTATTGATCCTGGCTTTGGAGGAAGAGTGAAGGGGCAGGTATGATGCCCTTTTGGAATAATTTTCAAGTGTATGATTCCACACTGAAGTGACCAAAGAAATGTAGCTGTGTAGTGACCCACTTGCTGTGGGATCTTGACTTGGAAGGAAAGTCTTATTCTAGAAAGAACAGATCAAGTTTTTCACGTATACAAGCATTTGGGCTCTTATGGATCACCATTAGCTATACTGATTCAATCTGCAGCTTCTTTATTCAACAGTTTAATGATAACTATTTTCAGGGGTGGACTATACATAACAAATGCCTGATCCAGCCACAGGATATAGGATTTTGCTTGCAAAGAGGAATTACTTTGTAGCATGTCCCATGGCCTTCAGGCCAGACAACACTGGCAACAGCTGCTAATAACACTGAATTCCAGATGTAGATTCTGTTAAAAAAATTAAAGCAATTAATTTTATATTTTGCTTTAAAAATCTAGATGTACTTCCAATTCTTAATCTCATATCTCTATTACACTATTGTTGGGATGTTTAGTGTTTTGCTTGTTTGTTTTTAATTTAAGCCTAAAACTTTTTATTGGCAGATCAGCTTCAATAATTAGAATCATAATCTCGTAAAAAGGGCACAAGTCTTTGGAGTGTTTGGAGAGTTAACACAAAGTAAGGAAAGAACTTCTCTAGTCAATTATTTTGTCTCCTGTAAAAATGTCCGATTACTCTGATGTAAGAACACAGGGCAAATGTACAGCTCCCAGTCTGATTAGCAACTAAGTATGGAAAAATTATCATTTTCCAGCTTAATTTCAATATTCTTGCCTATGATTCTATAATAAGCAGCAAGCAAAAGTAGGAAAGTTACATAGACATGCATATTCCCTACATTTAAATAACTTGATGTAACACCAGGTAAATGATCTGGGAAAAAAAGAACGAAATGCATCACAGGTCATCTTTTGGATGGTGAGAACTAAACTATCAGAAAATAAAGTTTTCGAAAATGTATAAAGACCAGGACAGCTGAAATAGGTACAACAGCAATACAGAGAGTATTAGGTGTTCTCAAAGTTTCTACACACGACAAAGTAGCCCCCATTCAAAACATCGTAATTTGACAGTTACAAACGCCACTGCTTCCTTTAAAATACATCTCACCTATACATGATTGCTCTCTGACAGTATGTACATTGCTGCCCCTTTCACAACCACTACAAAGAGGCACCAACCACAACTCCGCCTCCACCCTCCGACCAGTCAAGTTGCCAAAAACACGGTCCCGGAGTGAAAGGAGCCCCCGGGTTGCCCCTYCGGGCTGTCCGCTGTGTACTCACCATGGCGGGCTAGTTTTGAAGACTTTCTTCCCCTCCCCCTGCACCTACGCACAATGAGGGAGAATGGAGAGCAGTTTCAGCATTAAATTTGAACTTCCCTGCTTTTGTTAGCATGAGTCACCACCTTAACATTATCTCAGCTGTAGACTTTTATCTGTGAATATCTAAGCCCTGTCTTGTGGAAAACTAATTACTGAGCCACTGAGAGGCTTCATAATGTCCTGCATTTAAGTCCTGAACATCATACATAATGCATAGGAAGCAGTCGCTGCACTCTGATTACAGAACACTGTCATTAAGAGAGCAAATTAAAGATGTGAATAATTCACTGGCTGAGCTTATTGTCAGTGCTGCATTGTGAAATTAGAATTTCTAATAAGTACTGCAATTTTTTTAACCCAATTAACACAGAGAACATCTTGAGTCTGATTAGTACAATAAAAATTATTACCTTATTCTTTTGCTTCACAACAGCCAAATTAAATACTGTACTTAATTATGCAGCATTCATCGCTTCTGTGCTAGAAATAATAATAATAAAAAATTCTCACTATCGCTTTAATAAGACTTCCAATATTTAGAGTGCAACTGAAAAATAGAGCATATGAATCTCCTGCACAATTTCTTATCGCAAAGTTACTGTTTTTTTTTTCTTTTTTTACAGACTTTGAAAATAGGTTTTAATATCAGCAGACGACCATGATGTCACTGCTGAAGTCTTCTCTGGAAACAAAAAGGTATTMAAAAAAAATCCCACAAAACGACCCYTCTGAACAAGCTCTGAATATATATTGTGAATTAACTTTCTCTAGCTTGATATGAAGACAGAAGAAAAAAGCATTACCACTTACTGCCTTGAAATCGAATACAAAATATACAAACATAGAAACATGTATATACACACACACAGACACACACATATATAYAGGTTGTTTCAGAAAAGACGCTTAGGAAATATGCTAGAAAGGAAAAGGAGCTGGATCAGCTCTCTTACCTCAGTTCCCTCTTGGCACGGGATAGATAACATCCTTTCATCCCAGATAGGAGGAAAGTCCGATTCAACATCCAGCATGCTGATTTTTCGCCACACGATGCCTGCTGCCATGTTAAATAAAGAAAATGATCACTGAGGATGCAGCTTTTGTCTCCAAATATTTGAATACTGCCTTTTAGTGACAAGGACACCAGGAACCTTCGCACATCTGGCAGCAGACACCACTGGCTGCAGCTGCTGCAATGGGATTTTTCCCCAACCCCATTTCATTTCCAGCTCCTTTTTCTTCCCCATCCTGAGGAAGTTTAATCACCARGCATGGCTAGGGAAGAAAAAAAAAGAAGGAAAAAAAAAGGAAAGGTGGCATTGCAATCACAAGCTTTCTTGGTTTTGTCCTAGAGACAGGGACTGCAGCAACCACCTTGCATCTTTGTCTAGTTATTTTAGCATGTGCGTGCAAGAAGGGAGAAAAAAAAMAGACTGAAAATTATTCAGGCATAATGCAATAGACATAAAGAGACAAAAAGACAAGGAGAGAAAGAGAGGGGAAGAGAAAGAGGGAGAGTGAGGGAGGGAGAGGAAACAGAAAGACTAAGAGAGGGAGAGGGGGCTGTCAGTGCAGATAAATCTGCATATGGAAATCAGGGTTATCCTGGGTACAGTTTTATTTAACCATGATGTACTGTTTTTTTAATTAGACAGGAATTTAAAGAAGGAAATGAAAGATTCTTAGAGACATAGGAGCAAACGAAGCATTTTAAATCACAGYAAAGCTTTCAGAGCAAGCTGTAGCAGCAACAGCAAAACTTTTTATAGCAACTTTCTAAGTRGAAGGAAGTTTTGTGCCCTGCTTCTCTTTTGCACCCAAAATACAGGCAAAACTGGAAAAGCATTCATTTTGAAACAAAATCAAACCACGGCAATCCAAAATGACACAACGATTTTTAAAAAGACCCAGAAGCCACTAGGTGCACAGAATGCACTTTAAAATAAGCTATGCCAGGCAGAGGTTTTAGGACTCTTGCCCTCAACCCCATTCTCTGGTGATTGTCACACGAAATGGAGGTGCTTCAGTAACTGATAGGAATGATACCTAGCTTGAATTTTAAACACACTAAACACCATTTACCAAGCTTGATGAGAACTGTGTGTGTTTGGGAATACAAGCATTACCTGACAGACATAGGAAGGTTGGATCTGGGTCTSTCAGGCATCAGGAAAGACCAGGAGAACCTCCTGCCAATGTCTGTGGGGGAGAATGGGGATGCAGCAACTGAGGCTGAAGAAAAGAAAGGAAATAAGGTTCAGATAAAGTCTGGACAAGGACACCCAAGAAAGGATAGGGGGCAGGGGAACTTAYGGGAAAGATGGGGCAACACTATTTATAAGAGCGTGTAGTGACAGGACAAGGGGGAATACGTTTAACTTGAAAAACAGTATGTTTAGATTAGATATAAGGAAAAATATCTTTACTGTGAGGRTGGTGAGGCACTGGAACAGGTTGAACAGTGATRTTTTGGATGCCCCATGCCTGGAATTGTTCTAGCCTAGGCTGGATGAAGTTCTGAACAAACACCCTGGTGTGGTTGAATGTGTCCCTCTCACCGCAGGACTGGAAGTAGATGATCTATAAGGTCCCTTCCAACCCAAACCAGTCTATGATTCCACGATTCTGTGAGCACAAGGGAAGCAGCTTAACAGCAGCAGCAAAATGGTCGCATTCATCCGAGAGCCGGCCAGAAACCACTTGTGGTGTCTGGCCCGCCAAGAGACGCCCGGATAAGCAGAGAAACCAGCTGGCCTGTCAACACTCAGAGGGGCAGCGGGCGGCGCTTCACCCTGGGGTGGGCGGGCCGGGATCGGGGAGGGGAACGGGGCGGGGAATGGAGAGAGGAAGGGGGAGAGGAACGGAGAAAGGAAGGGGGAGGAAGGGAGCGGCGGGCGCTCCCCTGGCGGGGAGGAGGAGCGGGAGGAGGAGCGGGAGGAGGAAGCGCGCCCGGGGCGGAGCGGCCGGCGGCCAATGAGCGCCTCGGCGCCTGCGCAGTGCCCCCGTGACGGCGGCGCGCGGGCCGTACGGAAAGGGCCCGGGCGCGGAAGGGAAGCGGCGGCCCGGGCGGAGCGCAGGTACCRCCGCTGGCCCTCTGCCTTCTGCCCGGGGCTCGGGGCCGGCCCGCCGGGGAAGCGCCTTCCAGGAGCGGGGAGCGGCGCGGGTCTGAGGCCTTACGCGTGGGGTCGTGTTCGTGGGCGCGCCCCGGCGGCTCTCTGGGCGGCCGCGGTGCTCCCCGCCGCTCCCGCCGCTTTGCGGCTCCCGCCCGCGGATTGCAGCCGCCTGGAACGTTCTGCTGCTTGGCCGGCCAAGGAGGTTGAGGTGCTTAAAGTCAGTAGTTGGTTTCGCTGGATCAGGGTTGTGTTAGAAAGGTACGGAACTGATGGGAGTTATGGTCGGGAAGAGCTGCCCTTTTATGTAACTCTTCCCCCAGGGTTTGCTGTTGTGTGGAGTGACTTTGTTATCCCAAACTGAACAGGATTTCCTTGGGAGCTCCTGTAGTTGGGGGCATTCCCTTCAGCTTCCTTGCCAGCTTTGCCACCACCCTTACATAGGATCCAGCTGTAAACTGGAGCACTGAAGTAATTCTTTCCCTACTTGCACAGCTGTCTGCTCCGCAGGAAAGTGAATGGATGAAAGTTGAACAGAAACTGTTTTCTTCTTTTTCTTTCCTTGAGCTTATTTTTCAGTCAAGCTTTTGTATTACCAACCTGTAGCCACAGTGTAAACTAGTTTCTGCAAGAATTATCTCAAAATCTGCCATCAAAGACGTTGAAAACTTTGGAGTTTTGCTTATATTTGCATATTTTCATAGGACTTGCTGACAACAGCTGCCTTCTTCTGCTCTTTCAATATATTGTATAAAATATGAGTAAACTAAGATTGACTATACAGTGAACTTCATTTGGTCCTCATAATCCTTCTTTTGGTTTTGTTTCTCTTTTTATTCAGATTCCTGGGTAGTTAGATTTTTTTTTTTAATAGGAACTTCCAACTGTGTCAGAATCGGCCATACAGTAATTTTCTAAGCTTGAAAGTTTCAGCACTTTGGAGTTCTATAATTGTTATGTGGGATGTATTTACTGCTTTCCAAAAGGCTCTCAATATCCCTTAAAGTTACAGATAGTTGGGAGCCTGTAATGCATGTTGTATTTCCATGGCATAGCTAGTGTGGTCATAAAATGAAGTGTTGCTGAAAGTAGCTTTGTAATGCATTCCTGCCTCCTATTATAACCTACTGCTAGCTTAACCTCATCACTAATTAATTTAGGGAGCTAAACCAGATGAAAATGTACCTTTTTCATTTTTTTTAAGTTGCTGATGTGTCTTCTTGAACAGGTTGTGTTCAAGSAGGGAGATGGAGTTGCACAGATTGGCAGAATTGCATGACAGGGCCTGTGACCATGATTTCCTTTCTTGGTGGTGTCTCTCAGCTTTTAGTTCAATGTTACAGTCCTGTCTCTTCACTTGACCTGAAGGATGATGTGGATATGTAACAATGAGAAATTTATTTGGAGAAATGCTATGAGTATTTTTGTATTTGTCTATTTATTTTCTAGATCAGGTGACAACAATGGAGACTGACTTTGGGGCTTGCTCCAYGCCCCCATTTCTCACTGAAAGCTTGGAGCTGGCAATGGAAGTGGAGGAAATGGAAAACTCAAGGCCGTCTTGCTTTTCTTGTGCTTTTGACAACCAAAATGGAGGGAGAAGGTTTTCTGCAGAGTCTTATTTAGCAAGTGGGTCTCTTAAGAGGTATGGGATTTCTTGAATTACAAAATTCTTCTAAAATGTTCTTCCCACTCATGTTTGGTGTGTCTGAATGCTGTCAGTTTTCCAAATCGGTTTGTTCTTCAGCTCTTTTGATCCTGAAATCAACTTGGTGATACCAAAGTGGGAAGGGCTGTTGTGTTGGTAAACAGCTTTGAATGGTGCTCTAGATGCAGTTCCCAGCTTTCTGAACTTATTTTTAAGGTACTGTAACAGGCATTTACAAGCCTGTTAGAATACTTCAAAACTGGCCTGTTGGGTATTAGCATCTGAGATCGCTTAAATTTCTGAGGAGGCTTCAGCTCTGCTTTTCCCTGTCATATGCTCTATTAAATGATGGCCATTAAATGATTTCCACTTGATAGAAACAAACCTGCTGTACCTGGCTTCCCTAGATTGCTGGAGCTGTCCTTTGTAGCTCTAAGACCATCTTTCTCAAACCTTCACCCTTGTATGCATTCTGGATTTAAGGTTCTGCAGTCATATGCATAGCAAATAAGTATTTTCTGTGAGATTTTGAACCATTACTTAGATTTAGTTGTTATCAGCCTTATTGTCTGTCGTTACACTTAGTTTTCTGTGCTGTTTGCTCATCCTACAGGGGTTGTCCTGTTTTTCCTACAAAGCCTAGTGTTTCTGTCTGTCCTCCTGCCAGGCTTCATATTTTGTGCTGTTATTTTTATTTTCACAGTGTTTTCTGTAAAGGCTTAAGGGGGGTTCCACTGCGCCTCCCCCGTTCCTGACTTATTTGTCATATATTTGGGTTGCATCAGAGCACGTTCATTCAAATTTGTGTCAAGTAGATGATTGAGGTATCCTGTATCTGCATGAACATAGCATTAATGAATTCCACATTGACGAAGAAACATTTCACCTGAAATTGTTTCTGTCATTAAAACTCACACAGGAGCTTCTATATAGGCAGGTTTCCCAGTCACTATAGTTGTGATAACACTGTTCTTCTGCTGTGTATTTACCTTGTCTACCTGGATTGCAAATTCCTAGAAAAGCGTGAATATGAGGGACTCTTCTGCCGTGATTGCTTGGAACGGGAGTAGATGGATTTAATTGCTAGAGGCTTCAAAAGAGTCCAGTGTTCAAGAAGTTACCAAGTGAACTCAATATTATGGGAGGTTGAGCCAATTATTCAGCAGATTCTCTTTTTGCTTCTGGGAACTAAACTGGAAGTAGTACAAAGTTCAAGAAGAATTAATTTGGTGTATAATGTAATGGAAACTAAGTGCTTGCCTAGTATATTTTTTTTTAATTTTTAAAAATAAAAGTATTTTTATGTATTAGTAAATTGAGCTTCATCTGTGTGGAATTATTATATGAAAGGCAGTGGGAAAATTGTGAAATAATTTACTGTCATGAAGATTGCTGTGGGTTTTTTTTAAGCATGTTAATGGAATATGTTTTTATTTGCACAGTTACAATGTTTCAACAATACAGGTATCTGATTTTCTCCACTTGGAGTGAAATGGTAATTCTGATGTTATTTAATTTTTCTTTAGCCAAGCAAGGGGTAGTTATAGCCTAGTGTTAATGTAAGTTACAATGACAAGGTCACATTTTGATCCTCATCTGTTCATCTGCCTAAATGTGCTTTTAGAGTGTGTTCAGTATAAATATTATTAAATGAACAAATGTATATTCTAGCATTAGTTATTAAGTGTGTAGGGTGCATTGAGACATAGTCCAAGCATATAGATTAGTGTGTTATCTTACATAGCAGCATCTTCTCTAAGTATAATCTTTATGTTATATCTCAGCCCCTTTGTAAGTATGAAGATACTTCCAGGTGGTAGCTTGTTAATTTTTGTTTCCTAAATGCACTGTGACCTGTGACTATATCCTGTTTTTATGCTTTTTGAATCTAGGAGTTTTCATCTTACTATAGATCATATTGCTCTGAAAGGTACAACTGTCTTTGAGACATCTGTTGAATACATGTTGCTGTTATATTCAGAAAGTATTGGTGGTACATAAGCCTGCTGTAGATAGTGTTCCATAGGTTTATTACTGGAAAATGAATGAATATTGTTGGTTTTGTTTTGCAGGGTTTTGCTGAGACTGGATCCTTCTCCAAATGACTATGAAGAAAATACAGTGGAATTGTTTGGCTTTCAGTGGGTTACAGAAATGGCATTAGCTGAATCCTGTGAATTTCTCTTTGGATTACTAAGGTATGATAATGTTGTACTTCATAATTAATCCACATCTTTAATTATACCTCCTCTAAGAGTGTATCAAACTTCTCACATTTTTAATAGTAATGTCATAAAAGACTGTGGGCTATGCAATGCATCTAMAAAAGATTAATGCTGTCTGTTTAATGCTCCAGTAAGTGATGGATAAGACACAGATGGAATTGGAGGAAGTAATACATTGTGTCACGGATTTTTAATATTATGTGACTTATTATTAAGTTTCTAAGTAGTGTGATGCATATCTTAGGCATCACCAGATAAAAAAATATTTAAGTATAGTTATTACAACAGAGTGCTGGGGTTAATTTAGAAGGCTCTAGCTTCAGAATATATGAATAGRCTACGTAAGATTTCCTTGAATGAGATTGTGCTACCCATATAATTGAAGTTGTCTTTTGAAGATTTTTAGTCCTTTTCTGTGCATAAAGGAAAGTGGAGGTTAAAAATCAAATACTATAAATGCCTGATGCAGTGCTTTCTTCAATTGTTTGGATTAGGATAGCTTCAGCAATCTCTTCAGATACAGTTACTCAGTGTTTGACTAATTCAATGTAGATGCTTAATCTGGTCAATGCAAATACACAGATCACTGATAATCCTCTTTGCTACTGATAATCCTCAGGATGTACAGCACATACAGAGAGTGGATGGGAGAGGAGCTTTTGTATGATTTCACAAATATATGTGATGTATTCCATCGTTCCATTCATTGCAGTGTATTCTTCCATCCCTTTAGGCTATGACCAAGTGCATGATGTGCAATATGATTAATAGGGTCTGGCTTATTGGAACATAGGTGACATAGATGAGTGAAAGTGTATTAAAACCAATATTATTTAGCTTTGCTTGTTTGATGCAAGTTTTGACCTCACTGTGTTTTTTAAAAGCTCCCGAAGTAATAAAGGAGTATAAATAAAAGTTTCAGCATTTAGTTTGATTTCTTAACTGTTCATTAGCATAAAATCACAGGGCAGTGACCCAGGAATGTTGAATTAAATGGTTTTTTTTGGTTTTTTTTTTCCCTATAACATAAACTGCTCGGTAACTGTAATAGAGATTAACATAAGGCATGTATTTTATTAACATATTTTATTGTGGTTTTTATGTTAATCAAGCTGTACATGCTTTAAAACCCCCTGAATAATGGACTTCAGCTAACTCTTGGCTATTGAGAATGGTCGCTAAGCTGCCTTCTGATGTGACAACTCCCTCTGCAAAGACATTCAGTTCATTGGTTCAGTCATAAAATGGAATGGTTTTGTTTGTAGACGAGTTGACAAYTGAAATTAATAAAACTCCCTTTTCCGCTGTGGAATTCATATGTGTTAAGTAAAAGTTACAATAGTTTTTGAGGATAGGGTAGCTCTAAGTATTTTAATTTATGAAGTACATAAAGTTAATATCTATGTTTAAACACATGCTTACAGAAACCGACTCCTTTTTAATGTCTAAGATTATACTTAATATTGTAATTAAAGTTATTTACAGTTTTTAATATTGTAATTAATAATAGGCAGAATTGCAAGCTAAAATAGTAATTGCATAGTAAAAATTCTTTCTTATAGGTTTTCATGTGATAAAAGTGTGAGTCAAAGTAAATGAGATTATGTAACCATTTAAATGGGTATATTAAGATAATATATCTTTGATTAATAAATATCAGTGTAACTGTCAGAATCAAATGATTTAATGATTAACAGCCATGAGGATCAATTTTCGAGGTGCAAATGCAATTTAAAATTATTTTTTGAAATAATAGTATTTTTGTTATGTTTCTTATGCCCAGTTTGTGCTTTAATTTTATCAGCCCACTGTATTGTCTTTTGTCAATTCACTGGAGAGTTGTTTTTGTTTTTTTTTYCCTGTGTGGCTCCTTTCTGGAACATTCTTTCTCTAAACTCCAGTCTCAAGAACCTCGTTTCATAAAGTCCTCCTGCTTCAGACTTCCATCCTTTTTACATGGTTGAAATACTTGAAAAATCCAGGCAGAAATTCCACTTTGATTTCAAAAGAAACAAAAAGCTCCGCAACCCACCTAAATGACAGAAGGGTAGCTGACATGGCTTTATCCAAGGATGCAAGAAAGAGCTAAGGGCAATAATTTTACTGTGTGTTTGCACTTGAACGTGCAAGTTGCAACTTGGAGTTTTGTGTCTTTTAAATGCTTCCTAGTTTTTGGGGCTTTTTTGTAAGAGCATTTTATTTGTGTTGCATCCAAGYAAACGATTTTAGAATCCTTTAGTAGTTATTGCTTTGACTGTATAAGAAATGAAGCAGAGAGCTCCCTCCTCAATTTATGCAGCATTTTCTTTCAAAAGTCTGTGTGACACACTTGTGCTTTTCATATATTCAATTTAGTACTGCTTTATCTCTGGAGTCTCTACTGGAAGACCACTTGCAAATAACAGTTGTTATTTCAGTATGTGGCCGAGTATTTACCAATGTTACAGCTTTTTAAAAATAATCATTTGCAGTGGCACTTAGATTATTTAAAAATGTTCTTTTTCCTCTCCAAAACTGAACKGAGCTTTAACTTTTCTAGAAACACCTTCTTTTACTCTATTTGTTTTGTGCTGGAGTTAAGCAGCTGACCACCCTAAGCAGGAAGTGGGAAAAGTTGCTCTGGCAGAATGTACTGTGCACGTTCACAAGTGGATTAATTTAGTGTGTAGTGAGTGTATGCCATAAGGGCTAACTTTTAGGTTTATTCTGTGGTCAAATATGAAGTTGAGTTATGCTTGAGGAAAGATCACTTGCAGGGGATGGCTTTCATGGATTTTGGTCTGCGTTGTTTTTTGCCTTCCCCAGTATTTAGCCAATTGTTGTAGTATTTTTTGTTAGTATTTTTCATGTTTTAAAAACAAGCAAAAATTCTATTTAATGTTTGTTTTTTTCATCCTTGGATGCGTCCACACCTTCCACTAAAACTCTTCCCTAAGTTACTTTAGCTTTCAGAACTACAAAGCTTTCAGAACTACTTCTTGCCTTTCTCTGTTCTACTTAGACCTTAATAAAGTGGAGTTAAACAACTTTTACCTATATAAATACCATGAATTTTTGTATTCCTTCAATTAGGCAACAGATACACAGACTGGAAAACCTAGTACAAATGAGTTCATCTGATTTTGGTAAGTTTTATGAATTTAATTTGACATTCCACAAGGCATCTGGCTACCTTTTCAATAAAGAAGTAAATTCTCACAGATCACACTTGTGCTTTGACTATTGACCAAGGGCTTTTGGAGTGTGCCTCAGGGCAGCATAAAACTGCAGTAAGGGTAGAAATACAGGCAAYCAAATCAGGTAAGATAATGTGGAAATAGATARTGAAAATGTTGGSAGTYGGTTTGGARCCAGATTTGCCTGAATGGTAKATGCACAGGGCAATCCTTACKGACCTGAGTGGGGCATTTTGCATTMATTTGACTTGTCASCCCTAGAGTAGAATTTGACAAAACTACTAACTCATTTAATTAAAAATGGAAAATTACCTCAAAAATCCCAAAAACTATTTTAATTACAGAGGTAGTGGCTTGGGATTTTTTTCAATGTTCCCTTGACTTATGTTTAAACGAGTTAGTTATATTTGCTTAATTTAGAGTTATTTACAAACTTAATTTATCTTTGTAGTGGGATCAATAAGATGGGATCACTACAAAATGCTTTGTTTCAATTAAATACTGAGGCATGAGAAGTGTGCGTTTCTGAAGGATTATTGCAGCCTTGGGCTTATTGTAAGTTTGAAGGCTGAATTACTTAGCAAGTTGAGAAGTTCAGTAATTACTTAGAAATAAACTGTCTATAGTGTCTTCTCATTACAGATAAAGTGCTAGTGTTCTACGAGTGACTATTTTTACACATTATTTTGTTTTGATATTGTCATGTTAGCCCATTTAAATAATTGATGTGAATTTATCATCAAGCTTCTTTCATATRCTATTATGCTTTATTATTATAGCTATTATGCTTTAAAATATAATTTTTTGACATAAATGGAAATAGCCTGTTTTAAATTACCTTTGAACTTTTATATTGTTGCTGGACACCATGAAACTGTTCTGCAGCTCTCTTTTCATTTAAGTGTCTGCTTGGTTCTCTTCTTTCTATCCTGTTCTTCTACTTGCCAGATAGGGCAGTAAAATGAAGAACTTGAATTTTGTGCTTACCGCCAGGTAAGTCACTAATTCAGCTGTGACTCAGTTCCCCCTTATAGGAGTGGGCTAGTAGTAGAAGCGTGTCATGGGGATTGGAATATTTAAAATGGTCAGGCAAGGTGACATTAGATATTACAGATCTGTCTTAAATAAATGTGCTCTCACCACAGTTTAAAACCCCAGTTAAGAGTTTTGGCTCAGTAAATCTTTGTTATGCCGTGTGTTTATGTAGGTAGCAATACTGTACACTTAATTTCATTTTCTGTTAGTCTTGATATGCTTTGGAGACTTCATACTGAGAACCATGTAATGCAGAAGCCATGTAAAAGCTTCCTTTTTGCTCTGCATTGTGTCTTTTTTTTTTGTCTTTTTTGTTTCTTTTTAATGCCTGGTCTTTTTTTAACATTTTGCCATTCCGATTTTGTTCTATTTATTTTTTTAATGCCTGGTCTTTTTTTAACATTTTGCCATTCCGATTTTGTTCTATTTATTTCATTGCTCAATGATATATGATAGTATGCAAAAGATGTTGTAGTGAAGTACTATAATACAAAATTTTGCTTAAACAGAACTTGAGAATTTAGGATATACTATTTGTTGTTACTGCTACAAATCAGCAGTAATATCTATAAATAATTACTTTAGAACAGAGTGAATTGTTCCTATTAAACCTGTGGTTCATTACCATGGCAGATGCTATAGCTTCTGGTATGGTGCAGGTAGGCTGTACACTGGAATATTCTGGTACATGCCTTGCTCACAGAATGTTGTTGCTCAGAAGATGTTGAGATAGGCTTGTATTCACAAAGCTTTATTTGTGGGGTCTGTAACAAGTGACATACATGAACTTCCTGGTTAACTGGGGAGATGGGAAACAAAAGGGAGAGCAAGAGAAAAAGGTAAAAATAGGGAAGACTCCCCAGTGGTCAGCTGGGGAGAGGAGCAAAGACAACTGTCTTTCCCTGGGTGTGCAGTCCAGATAAGAATTTCTGCCTATGCATCTCCTCTRAGATAATGCACTTTCATTTGCCTGCTCAAGCTCCTTATTTGATGCTTGCATTTAAGATGCTCTCAATAATCAGCACGTGTGATCAGGTACAMGTTGCAGGCTGACTGTTTCCTAAGCTTTTGTGTATATATGTTATTGGGCAGTAGTTGCTTGGTATTTAAATGACTATATTTGCTTTGTTATGCACTAAATTCATCTTTCTCTTATGTAGACTGAAAGCCACAAGGCAAGGTGTAAGAATAAATAAGGAATGATTCTCACACAATGGCAGTAACTTTCAGTGAATTTCTGCTGTAATGGGGGTGTTGATCTTGCAGGTGCTAGGTGAGGATGGTAATACCATACAAACAGCTTCAGTGAACAAAGGAAAGGCGACATATAGCCAGAATAACTGKCTGAAAGGATACAAATCTGCAAGTGAAAAGCAAGATTGTGAATGGATGGCTCTTAGCATTATATATCTGAAGTTCTGTGCAAAAATGTGATGCTTCTAAGGAAAATTTACAAGTCCACCTGTTTAAGTCTGTCAAGAGAAAAGGGTGCTAATAAATTGCCTTACCTGTGTCTTAACTGAAGGTGCCTTGGAAGCAGTCAGGAAGAAGGGCAGTTGGGTTTATGTTTTCTTCTAGCACTGAGTGCTTACTCCTGGTCACCTTTCCCGAGGGCCTTTTCTGTCTGTATGTGGGTATGTGCCTGAGATGATAAGATAAAGAATGGATCTGATCCCTCTGGCAAGATGACATTTAGAAGTGGGTGTTTGCCATCAGTCACCTCCCAACCTGTCCTCTGATCTKGTTTAATTACTGTGGAGAATGCAAATGTTAAAGGAGTCATGATGTGGTCCCATCTTTTTTAAGCTATTGATCTCTTTTGCTTTAGGTCATGCTGCACGCTTCCACTCTGAAGCAGAAAGCATCAGGCATCAATGTCTTAAGTTTTTGCACTATGTGAAAGTTTTCATCTTCAGGTGAGATTTACATGCATTTTGCTARCGTGGGTACCCAACTTTCTGTAGTGGCTTCTTACCTGTTTTCCGATTGTGTGTATTTTTCTGAACATTCAGGTATCTGGAACCCCCTAAGATGGAACACGATGGAATGCTGCACCCTTATGAAGAACTAGAAGCTCAGTTACCATCAGTGTTGGTGGAAGAGCTTCATGCTTTGACTGTGCACATTGGTCACATTTGTGAACTTCCTAGTAATGTTCTGGCAGCATTTACTATTCAAAATCAGGCAAAGGTTGGTGTTTGTTTGTAATTTTAATTTTATGTGGTATTATGTATTCAACTTGATACATTTTGGCTTAATAGAAGGTTTTTTTTGGTATGTTTCTTTTTTCTATCTTTCATTCTTAAGTGCTATCCTGTACTGGGCATATACAACTAATGAGATCTGGATTTTCTATTGCTGTTTTTATTTTTCTATTTATTTGTGTTCTATAGCTTTAGAATTCTTCCTATACTATACAAATGATAATATCAATTGTAGGTAGATAAGTAGGYTTGAATTAGCATAGCTTGTTTAAAAAATTCCTTGGTTTTTGTCTCTAGTAATGTTTAAAATTCCTGAGCTACCTGGCAGGAGGGACATTTTTTTAAAAAGACATTCTGAAATCTGACTCAGAGTGGGAAAGAAAGAGTGCGGATGTGAAAGGAGGCACAGCAGCATTAAACACTAGTGAAGTATGCACAAATCCTAATGGTGTATACATATCATAGCTTATGCTTTCAAATCTTGTATAAAGAAAGAACGGAATTTCATTCTTGTGTTGTATAAAYTAGTGTCTGGAGAGGAATATCCACTGAGAAGCAGCATTTTGAGTCTTTGTTTAGCTTGTCAGTAGGGTCATTGTTGGGCTGATGAACAAAACAGTAATTTCAAGTAAACTTTAGGGAGGAGAATACTAAAATGCTGGATTTGTTTTAAGAGCTCACTTTAGCAGTTTGTGTGCTACCTAATACTTTTCTGTAAGGAAAAGGTTAACTAAGTATGTTGTAATTTAAACTTGAATCAAGACTTCATAAATAGCCTCTTAGAGACAGAATTGTAATGGAAGTTTTTTGTTTGTTTTTTTTACTTGAACTGAATGGCATGTTTATATGTTACATTGTATTTGATCATAGATATCTAGAATGTTCATTGCAGGRCACCTTAGAATCATTAAGAGCTCTAGAATCATCAAGGTTGGGAAAAATCAAGTCTGCCTTTACTCTAGCATCTCCATGTCCTCCACTAAACCATGTTCCCAAATGCCACATCCGTGTGKTTTTGAACACTTCCAGGGTAATGATTTCACTGCTTTCCTGACCAGCTTGTTCCAGAGCCTGACCACTTGTCTTAGTACATTATCCAAAAGTCCCTAAAGAAATGTTAAATATAAGTAAATGTATTTCTAATCACAGGTCTTTCCTCCATCATGGCACTTACTACATCTCCACTTGGATATTAACTGGCTAATATTAGAAGTTCTGCATGTACTAGGTGAAAAACTGATGAGTAAGTATGCAGGCTTTTTTCTTGAACATATTTTTTGCATATGACTCACTTTTTTTTGTCTTGGTTTGTCCAGAATTAAAACTACCTTTAGTAGTTTTTAAGCATAGCTGTATTGAATGGGGTAAACTCAAATATGGTAAAAGTAGGTTCTTTGTGAATCATCATGCAGCTCAAATTAAATAAAATTAAAAATCTGTTCTGTCAAAACTTGATCAAGATCATAAAGTTCATATCAACTGATGCACCATACTAAACATTTAACAATACACTTCCTGACATCACAAATAAAAATGCATTTGCAGATATCCAGAATACATAAGAATGAATGGCAGTTWGACGAAAACAGTATAGACAAAGTGTCCAGGAATGGACTAGAACAAGGATTCTTGGAGGARAGAATTTGTATTGTTAGCCATATGCAACACTAAGAAAATGTTTGCAAAAGAAGAAGCCTCAATCAGAGGAGCTTATAAAAGTACAGCAAGAAAAGGGCAAGGCAATATATTGTTAAAAATTTTTATAAGGCTTTAAAAGGGCAAAAAGTAAGTTGAKAAGAGTAAGCTGTTCATAGAAGCTAGATTAAAAAGGTCATAGAATACAATTGAAAAACTCAATTTCAGAGTAGTTTGCTGAAGTATTGTTAAAATACAGAAGAGAACTTTATTTGCTGTGTGAGGCTTGTATCTATTTTCCATGTCTATTCTACCAAAATAAATCACAAAAATGTATTTTCTTATATAATCAGTGAATCACTGCAACCATACCTTCCCTCACCCATACTGATATTATAAATTATCAGTATAAATTCCAGTAGGAATTGCAGCAGTCTGAGTAATTCTGAAATACAGAAAGAATACACTATATGTTTAGCCCAGGTAACTGGTACTGAAGCTGAACTCTTAGATTATCTTTTACCTGTTACAAGTGCTGTCACAACACAGCCTTGCTCGCATTAATAATACATTTTCTCTGTTTCTGTATGTCTGCTTTATTGGATAGCATGTGGGTTGCCTTTTTGTTCTATAATTCTAAGTTCCTTTTATGATCAATTGTGGGATAGCCTGTTTTCGTTTTTTAGAGCATTTTGGAGAAAGGATAGCAGAACTGTTAGAGGCAGTTTATTTTCCAGAATTCAATATTTATTTCTAGATAATGTTCTGAGTAATAATGCAGTAATCTATCTTTGTAAGGGAAAGCTCATGATTTTTTTAACATAATTTACTAGTCAAGACAGTAATATCTCTACATATATTATTTTGTCTTGTATCCTTACATGCCTTTTAGRATGTCTTGGGTTTCTGCTTCATTCTGTAAAGTGTTCTAAGTGGAAACTTCACACTGCTGAGACCAGTGGCAGGATAGTGGGTTCAAGGYTTCACCTTGCATTTCCAGGAATACTTCTAAAATAAAAGCTCACTCTACGTATTGTCTGTTCCACTGATGTCAAGGGAGTTGTACTGTTGAAAAGCTTATGGGATAAGAWCTTACAGCCTCTTAACTTTACCATTTTATCTGTTAATGCCTACAAATGCTCAAGTTGGAACATGATCATGCCAGCTTTTTACATCAACACATCCAAAGGAAAGTGTTAGACCTCTCCAGAATTGTTTGTCATCAACTTGCATATCTGCAAAACATGTCACGATTCCAGAACATGCGCACTGGCATGTGACGAAGAGGAACTTGCAGATAAATAAATCTTTATTCCTCTGCAAAATCTGTGCCAATAAAAGGCTGCCAAGTGCCAAGCTTTTTTACTGTCAAGCTGAATAATACCAGGTTTCAGTGCAATAATGAAGGGATTAGCTTCAATTTAGGATGAGCTTTTTCATATGAATTTWTAAATTAAAATTACACACAAGTCAACAAGCCCATTCTAAAATATATATATATCTGAAAAGATATATCCTGTCTGTCTTATATTCCTACAGCCAAACCTGGAACTAAACAGTTCTACTTTTCTTTTGTTTTTTAGGACAAGTTGTATATGCTAACCATTTCATAAATCTAACTGGAGAGAACCTAACCAGTATCAGTTTATTTGAAAAACACTGTGAAAATCTCATAGCTGATTTAATAAGCTTGGCCATCAACAGGTATACAAAGGTAACTCTTTTTCTTTCTACAGATCATGGGCAGTTAGATGCTTGTATTGSGATCCATATGAATTGGGTATTGTGCCAGTGCATAGATGACTTCTTACTGCTTAGTTTTAAATGTTACGTATGGCTTTGTATCTCCATGTTTTAAAGAGTGTTATTTGTTAGGAGCTCAAATTGTGTTATATTTATTCATGACCATCTGGCAGTTGAATGAGAGAGTAATATTGAAATGCACTGTGTACAGAGCAGAAGTGAGTGCCACATTTCCTAAGTTCAGTGTTCCAGGTTTAATGCCAAACATGGCACAGTCAAAAAGGTTTAGATAGATGGAAGAAAAAAAAAAAGTCTTTTCAAACTCTCTCAACAGGAACAAAAAGAGAATAACRCTAATCCTGGCAGAAGCTAACTGGACACTTAAACAATGTCATATTACAGTTTATTGTTGCAGTGTGCCTATTTCCACCACTTCATCTTTCTGTTACAGCGCTTTTGCATTTGTCATGGGAAAACTTGTCCATCTCTTCTCTTTTTCTTTCCTTCCCTTCTAAAGTTGCAGTATTTTTCTCACTTGTTTTGASCATTCCAAGGCTAGAAAGTCATAATAGCTCCATATAGCAGCCAGTAAAAGAGCTGTGTAATCTTCTTTGTGTCATTGTGAAAGCTGCTTTAGATGGACATGTGTGATCCATGAATGCTTGACTGAAGTCTGAGAATAAGTAGCAGTGACCACTGTATAATTTGTGTTTCCCTAGTACAAAAACATGAGAAATAGTCCCTCTTCTCTCATATCACTTTTGAAGGTGGGAGGAATGAGTGTACTAGCATTTGATAACTGTTCTTTTAAAATACCTTCCTGTAGAGAACTGTTACCTTTCAAAATCAGCTTTGATCTRTTAAATTATCAGATAATACTGCACCCTTCTCCCCTGACAAAAGGCAAATAGATGAGAATAATGTTTTATAAAAGAACATTCAAATAGTATCTGTTGTACATTGTGCTTKATGGTAGGCCTGGAAATGTCAGATGATAAAATGACAGATTTGACACTTTCACAGAGCCACGTTAGGATGAGAGAAGATTGGTTTGCCACTSCTTTTTCTTAAGTTCTCTCTAGGCACGGGCCACACACCTTGAGTTAGTTCTATTTGAGATCAATTTCGGAAGTGAAACCTACACTTGAACTGGTAACTCCTACAGAATGCAGTCACTGCTGTCATCCAGTAMTGGAAATAGCATCCCTCAAAATTGTTGAAAAGGCAACTAATACATCTAGTAGATGACATCATCATCCCATCACTAAAACATGTCCTTGGGCTTTTGGTTGAGAATATTCATGAGTGCAGCTTTTAGCATTTGTAGATCTCTTGGAAAGAATGACATAAACTCTAGTCTTCCAGACTCATATTTTCAGTTTGGTTTCTTTGGGCARCTCTGATACCAAGATGTTTGACTTGGATCATGTACTGAGCCCGGTGTGCTCTGAGACACATTTGGCAGAGAAATACATATCCRTGGCTATCTTTCTTCTGTCTTCAGCAGCCACACCTCTGCCACCAGATCTCTTGTCCCAGCAGAACCACAATTTGGAGTTTTGAGCATTCTTACCAAGATACTGAACYGAGGATGTTGTGAGAGGAAATACAAAGTATCTCTGAAGAAAACAATGTCTTGGCTATCCTTAGTCTAATCAATGTCTTGTATGGTGTCTTGCTTTGATACTGCTACCCAGACTCGATTCTGAATGGATACTGCACATTTCTTGACAAAAAGGATCCTGCAATCTTGTAGATTAGCACAGCAACAGATGCAAACAGTAGATAAAGAAACCTTGTGCAACGACTGATAGTCCATTTGTAAGTTTCTATGCCTAATATTTCTGCAAAAACCTCCAGTGTTACAGTGCATCTGTAATGAGTGGAGTGCTCATTTCCMATGGATCTGTTTTGCTCTTTGGTGGTGAGTCATAACCAGAATTGGGGCATTTCAGTTTTGGAAAGTTAATRGCTAAATAATGAATTTTTCAAGAGACTTTAGTGGTCATACTGTTTATTCTCAAGATAATATTTACATAAAATTAATTCAGGTTGTTGAGAGATTCCTGTAACAGATCTTAAACTAAAGGTGTAAGGAGAGACAAAGGCACCTGAAATGCTGTGAGTATATGTGGAAAGTGAATAAAGAATTATTTAAAATACATCAGGTATATAATGACAATTTCATAGGATAAACAGGATTCTTGAGAGAGAGAAAAAAAAAACAATTGGGTTGCATTTATATATACATGTGAATTCATATTTATGATTAATTTTTCAATATTTAAACCTGATTTGGAGCTGTACAAAACTGTAGTTGTAAACATWTTGTTCTAAAGATGGATGATACATAATAAGTTTGCATCCTAATAAAATATTATACAGATTTGAAACGATTGTTAATATACTTGTTCTAATTGTGAAAGTGGATTTTTAGTCATTCACTCCCATTTCTGTGATGTCTCACACAGCTACTGCTGTCATTGGCATTGCATATTTTGATACAATTTTTTATTTACGCTATTAGGTTTCCAAATTCAGAAGTTATTTTTAAGTGCCAGTGTGATTTGAGAATAGTTGTGCATGAGTGGATCAGACAAAACATGAGGATWTAGAAATTCAGGATCCATCTCATCATATGTAGATATCTAGGAATTAGTTGGCTAAACTAGTCACCTGAGGTACTTTTTATTGTCATGGAAGGGTAACAACAGTTCTTTCTTCTGCAGTGAGTGAGATTAATTAATCTCTCTAGGTACCTGTTGCTCTCTGTTTGCTTTAGAGAGGCATAGGTTAATTAGTCAAACTTGGACTACTCATTGTTTAGGGAGAAAATGAGTATGACCTGCTTTGTCTTCTCTCTTTCTACATTTCTGCCCCTGTGTGCTTGCCTGAAGATAAAAGGTGCTGAATTATATTATTTAAGTGAAGCTTTTCTCATAATTTTGTCACCTCTGAATACAGTTCAGTGGGTTCATGTATCTTAGGATAGAGTAGGTAACGTTGTATCTATAGTGTGATTATTTTAAATACAATGCTGGTAGATCTTAGAAACATTAAAGCATACAGAGATTTTTTTAAATGCATTTACCACTTCCTTTTTCTGTTTTGCTTATTTTGCTTCACAATTCAGGGAATGTAAAATTGAAAGATGAATCACAAGAAGACTATTTTGCATTTGAAATGCATCAGTCTGAGTGAATTTTGTTAAATATGGAATAGTAATCAWATAACGTACATGACTTGAAATATGCTGTTTTCTGCATATTAAAAGAATGCCTTGCAGTAAATTTACTGAAAAGCAGATTTTGTGAAATGTTGTGGGAACATTAACATCCTGATGCCAAAAACAACATATTCTATGAGCATTATGCCTAGTCATTAAGGATTTTTCAGTTAAAATAACAATAATAGCTATTAAATCATTTGAAATCTTTTTGTTCCCAAGAACATCAAGAAAATCTAATCAATCATTTTCTTTTCTCTATTGTCAGACTGAATCRGTATTTATTGCAATTTCTTTTCATTCAGGGCACGGAATGCCGTTTTTATTTGATTAAATGATGTTTGAAAGTGGACCAGAAGAAACTGAGAAATAGCACAACCTGTAACTTATGTAGAATTAGGAAAGAGTTGTATGAGAGAGATATTTTGGATGTTAGTGAAGTAATGCACCTTTGAATGTGTAATTGTAACTCTGTTATTTACCTGAAAAAAAGTCCTCAACCTAAATAGCCAATACAAGAGGGAATATTGGTATATAAAACAATTTCAAAAATAACACTTCTGTGAAAAATTTAATTCTATATTCTCTTTCAGGTGCGACCTTCTGAGGCTCTTACTAGTAGCCATTGTCCCTGTACATGCATTAAAGAAATGTGGGTTCTACTTATTCAGCTGCTGGACCACAGAAATAAAGGTGCTGAGACAGAGGTAAGGGAATAATACTGTTACATGTGCAGTAGAGTCGCCAGATGATCCCATATGGCCATGGATGCACAGATCTGCTGGTAGAACTGAACCTCATATTTGCTCCAGGAGAGCTGTGTGCCACCTGTGATGCTTTGAGCCACTGTCRTGAATGTGCATAAAGTCCTGATTCTTTGTTTGCAGTGTCCTGTTGGGTTATGACCTAGGGCATTGATTTGGGGGTGCTCCTAGAGCTGAAGAAAGCAAAGCAAAGGAATAGAATGTGAAAGTTCCTTTCTTTGTATGGAAGAACAAAGTACAAAAAGCCATGTTTCCTTATTTTTTAAAGCAATTATATGCAGTTTCTGTGATATGTCATGCAATGATTCATCTCCAGGCATTAGGAACCCAGGTGCAGTCAGAACAATGATCCAGCTAGCACGTTTATGTCTTTGTTACCCATCTGTACAAGAACAACCTGGGTTTCATTTTGAACTTGTAGTTTCTGATTTCTYTAGATGCTCCCTTATACTTCAATTGGAAGAACAAACCAGCAAATCATTACCTGTTCTCCTTCTTTATACCAATGCAATTTTACATGCCTCTTCAGTTTGTTCTATTTTCTTCTGATATATCCTACCTTCTGCCTTTTCTAGGCTAGKAATTCTTTTCTTCAGGTGCCACTTTTTTTACCTGTGGTCACCCTTATTCCATACTACTATACCGTGTTTTGAATAACACAGTGCCAGGGTTGCAGGCAGTATTCTAAATACAGGTTAGAGGGCCGTATGATTTTATACTTTTCATAATGATGTTTTCTATTTTGTTCCTTTCCTTTGCTAATATTTTCTAGCATTTTAATTTTTCTTTCTTTGCTGGTTAGAATTGAACTGATGTTTCTCTCAATGAATACAAAGAAGTGTCAAAATCCTTTGAAAATTTTCTGAAATAATCTTTATAAGAACCAAAGTGGCCATCTGTGCCATGAGTACAGTTCACTTAGTACAGAATGAAGTACTTCACAATAGAGGGTTTGCACTGATGGTTGTTTATGTGTTAAGGACAACASATGTAAAGGTGGACAGCACAAGTGAAAGTGCACTGCTGTTAAGCATTTGCACTGGGAATAGGACTTTGCAGCTGAGTTAGGATCAGGAKCCAGCTGAGGTGGATAAAATACATGTGCAAGGAGGCCCCAGAGGGCTTCCATAAAACTAGGAAAAATAGACACAGGCTGTAAGAAGTAGTAATATTGTGATCTAGACAAGGGTCTGAGTCAGACAGAATTTGTCTGTTCTGGAACAGACTTACAAAACAGGGAATTGGAACCTCTGCTTGCCGTCTTTCAGATTGATTCTCTATCATCTACTATATTCCTCTTGGTTAGGTTAGTCTGGCGCTACGAGTTTTTCAAAAATACATTATAAAAAGTCTTCATTAAAGAGCTCTAACCTCTCTTGTGAGTGTTGGGGCACCATCCTGCCTGCATATCCTCAATCTATCAGTTTGTAATTTTGCCTCTGTAGTACTGCACTGCATTCTTCCTGGTGACTCAAGCTTGTCCTTTCACATTGCTTTCTAGTTACATTTGAGAGAGGACTTTCTAAGGTAGTCCTGAGTTTTCTGTGTAAATACTGACCACTGCTTTTTGTTATTTTCTTTAAATGACTCATCTTGCTTGTTCTCTGTAAAAGCAAATTAATCAATAGGACATTGTTGTAGAGAAAATTGTTAACATAGGTTTTGTTATTGAAAGCAGTTCAMATTAACTTTTGCATTTTCTACAGTGTTTCTGGAACTTGGTGAACAAAGCCCTAAAGAATTTCTTTGAACAGCCAAGTACTTCTGAAAATGTGTCTGGGTTTGAAACAGTTCAGTGTAAAGACCCCCTGAGTTTTAGCTGGTGGATCATGAGTCATCTGGCACCACTCTACCTGTTTGACCGTAATGGAAATATAGATGAAAAGGTGGGTATGCTTTTTTCTAAATACCTAGGATTACAATTGATTTTGATCTCTTTGGTTATTTTTGTTGACAGAAAATAATTCATTTTGTAATGCAGGATTTTTCATCCTCCTTAAAATGAATCCTTTTTAGGTTGGAAATTTTAAACTGTGCTTTGTACAAGTCAGTAAATGTTTTAGGAGCCCCAGACATACTCATGTTATACACCACATATTCAGTAGAATACTGTATGAAGGAAAATTGAAATATCCCAGCTAGTTTGTAGCACATATACTTAATGATGTAGCATATGTTTTAAGACTGTCTGCCTGCAGCATAAATGCTTCACTGGGTTTGTTGTTTTAGGAGCTGAACACATTAGTTTGTGCTGTATGAAGTATAAGCCTCAAATATTGACCGTAATTATTAGTCCCACCTTTTTTTTAAGATGGTAGCTCTGCTTTAGGTATATTTCAATCTGTCTAATTGAATTGCCTTTGCAGCRCAGCAATAGCATCATAAGATGCATTTGTATTTGTGTATACAGCTTAATTTTTGTGTTGGTATGCTACCAATAGACACTGTCTAATAACTTGAATTCAAGTTTTGGTTTAGGAAACTTGCACTTACTGAGGCAATTAATCCATTTTGAGATTTATGAAGACTGACARTTTTTCTTAATTGCCTATAGAGGAAGCTTGTTAGAAGCCAGTGAGATAGACGAAGACCCAGAAACMGGGGAACTTGAGTTATTTTTGGTAGCGTGTTTTGTTTGAGTTTTTTTCTCCCTAATAGTGTTTTTTGCACTAGGGAGAATCTGGCCATGCTGTCTTCTGTCACTTGTAATTCTGCTCTTTTATGCTCTTACTGTTACTGTTTTTTTTCTGTTTGTTTTGGTTTTGTCGGTTTTTTGAGGTGTTTGTTGATAGTCTTTTTGTTTGTGGGTTTTTTTTCCCCATTTGATGGCTTTTGTAACCTTTCAGCTGCATTGCTCATATTTCCTAATTTGCCCAGCACAAGGTCTGTTGGGCATCTTCCACAAACAGACTTAATAGCATTTTATTGTGAATTGTCTTTTTTATTTGTAATTTAACAGTGTATATTAAAACTGGAAAGGCCATACCCTCTTTCTGTTAAAATCTGTACTGTAATTTATATTGATTTAGGATGAAAGGTTAAAACTTGGAAACATGTTTGTGAACTGCAGATCTGTAAAAAGAGAATAATGATCACACTTGTTGAGCAATTTGTTTTGATCATTTAAAATCCCTCTCTTTGTCTTTGGATCTTTAAAAGCATTAGTATATAAAGAGGAAATGAAAGAAAAATGTTGAAATTCTGTGGATGYTTACAATACTAAGTAAAATAAGACTTTCCAATAAAATTAAGCATTACTTGAGTTTTCAAATCTGTATGTTYGTAAAAAAAGTTTAAATTGTAGCAAAGATGTGGTAATTCAGTGCTTGAATATTTAGCTGAAAAATTCATGACYATGTCTGGTCACTAGAGGACTTGACCCATGTGGGATACTCGTGCTTCTTCTCTTTGCCAGTTCACAGATCCTTTAGGATCCCATGGCAGGCTGCTTTTTACCATGTGGCAAAATGAAGCAACTTCTTACACATTAGTACAGTGTAAAGTTGCAGACAATGTCTGATTATTACCCTGAAGATTACCTGTTATTACCCTGTCTCAAACTTCTCTTGTTTTTGCCCCGCTGCTATGTGGTGGGGAGAGGGACACAGTCCAGAGCATTATATAGAAGGACCTTGGAAGACAGAATTACTACACTCCCTGCTTCTTAGAGGAATTTAGAAAATGAGAAAAGGTTATTCCCAGGTTGAATACAAAAATTGGTGTGAAGCACACATTTATACTGGGTTTCTTATATTTAATGCCCTAATTCAAATACAGTGATAGTGATTACTTTGATCATTGGGGCTTTTTCCTGTGTCTCACACTGATAGGTACTATGTATTTAGCCTCATGAGAGATTATTTTTTGCCCCAGGCACAACATTATTTACATAAAAAGTAGAATGAATTATTTACTAAAAAAAGTAGAATGAAGAAAAGGCTTCCTGTTGTTCTTATTTTAAAGTAGGAATCTGAGACACAGTGATAGGAAGTGTCTTGCCCAAGATTAAATAATACTTTTTCCTTAGAGCCCACCTGGGAGAAGAGAATTTCCAAGTCCCTGATTTGTAAATCATGAGACCATCCAGCGCATGCTCCTCTTGATACTTCTGGAAGTCTTTATGTTCAAACTATTAGCTGTGCTTTGCATTTCTGAGTGTTACTGTCCAGGGATCCCTGTTCTTGTACAAAAAAATCTTATCAGTAACATCAGGGCCTTTTCACCGGCCACAGTAATATAATCTGTCATAGAAAGTTGATAGTAACCATCCCTTTAGGTTCTGTCCCCCTCCCTGAATTGCAACCTTGAATGTTTTTTTGAACATTTTAAGGTAAAATAGTTTGATATGAATTTACAAAGTCAGTGGAATTACATGAGGACCCAGTGTAGTCCAGTTTTGTTGGTTAAACATTTGATGCAATGGCTTTGTGACACATGCTTTCTTTTAATTAACTGTGATCAGAGGTGGGAGGATGATGTGTCATAATGATGGTTATTCATGTGCTCTGTAGCAAAAATTGCCTCTAAGCCTATGTCATCTGTGGAAGATTTTCAATTTTTTAATGTGGTCTGCATGGCCTGAAGGTTGTTATGAAAGCTTTTAAAATTCTAAATAGGTTTCAGGCTTGCTTCTTTTTATTTTTTCCCCTTTAGCTTATATAATGCAATTTCAAATATGCAATGATTCATATATATTGAATATATGTTTCACATACATGAAACCACTTTTTTAAACTAGAAAATTTTGGACAGGTTTCTAAGAGACTTTGTTCTGAGTGATGTACAGTGCATGCCTCTTTCCATATTCCCCTGTTCAGGTCCCACTTCACTCTTCTGAAAAGCAGCATTTGTATATTTAAAACTCAAATGGGACATGATGAGAAAATTTGCTACTTCTGAACATTGCAGGGGTCAATTTTAATATCCTGTGGGCAAAGGTAATATRGGCAAAGTTACTTGGGGCTAAGAATTCTTGCCTTTGAATAGAATAATCTGAAATGACTACATGGCAAGATATGCAAACATGGACTTCCAGCTAAGAAGCCTAAYGTGGCTTTTCCAGGTAGTCAGCTGTTAGTCCTTGCAAAAGTTTTTCCTGCAAACTCAGCTCAAGTTTTATGTTTTAGCAGCACTTTTATGCACTCTAAGATCTCCAGGTTTTGCTAAGTTTTAGGACTCTCTTGGGGTGGAGGGAGGATATTTTAAGTCATGAGGTTTGGTGTCAAAGATGTAGGTTCTACATATTCTTTGACASGGCTAGATTGTAAGCAGTTGTAAACAGGTTCTGTGCCATATTGCTGGTGCAGTAGGGAATACTGTTTGGATGTTTATCTATTGACATTTGAATGAAACAAGTCTGTTAAAATATAGATACAATTGTAACTAAAAAGAATGCAGCAGGTGGTTGGTGTCCTTCCTCCCTGAGTTTGAGCTGAACCTAGGTGCACTCTTGTAATCAATGCCAGTTGGTGTCAGGAGTTTGCCCTAGATTACTCCCAAGATCTTGAAAGGTGATCTGCATAGTGCAGACGAACTGAAACTTTGGCAATAAACACCTGTTGTATAAAACATGTGTCCTTGGTCTATGCTACTGCTAAAACATGTTCAAAACAGGCTGATCCAAACATCCAATGCTCTCATASACATTTAGCATGACTCTAATATCTACATTGCTGCTAAATCTGGCCTTTTACCAGTCRCTTAGCTTTAATTAGAATCTGCAGTAGGACCATGCCAGTATGTAGGTATTTGCATAACATCAGGCTCTGAAATACAGCAGTCAAAAAACTAATGTAAATACTGGCCAGGTCTGTCTGGGAATGCTGGTTGTGCCCTTCATGGGTTTACCTGTTRTTGAAGTGCTGCCTTTACTCCTTGGCTGTTTGTTGATGCAATGTCTTCTCCTGACAGGATGCTAGCTCTGGTTTCATGATACAAAGCCTTTAGCATCAGTAACRGCTTAAATCATGTTCATTGCCCTAGGCATAATATGCCCTCTGCTGTTCTGGCACAATTATTTGTGTCCCTCTTCTGTGACCACAGTCATGCCCTACCCCCTTTTTCATTCTTTCTTTCTCTTCTAAAGTTCTGGGTAGATTCATTGTTGTGGCCTTAACTGTCTCACAAACAGAAGTTCCAGAACAGCTGAGCAGTGGCATGCAACAGGTATGAGGGCMGAAAGAGGAGCTGTCAGGATGACGTAGAAGTAGTGGGACTTTCTTAACTGATACAGCTCAAGTTTTTAAATCACAAAATAGTATAACTTTCTGTAGATCTGTCCTTTTGTTTATGTTTGTTCCATAAACAGTCTATGGACAGTGACTCGCTACCATTTTCTGTCTTCAAGTATTTCCTTTTTCTTGTGGTGCAAATTGCAAAGTCACCTATTAGTCAAACAGAATTGGATGAGTAYTAGTGCATATTTAAAAAGAATTCATTTTAAAAATTATTTTGGTACTTTCTGGAGTTCTGTGTGAAGCTGTCACCAAGTCATACCTTTAACTAGTTTTGTCAGTAGCAGATGAGAGGATGGAGCACAATGGTGTTACTGCTGGAARGTAGTTATATTTCAATGACCAAAGCATAAAATGTTTTTTTATTGTAAATTCTATACTCATGAGGACAGCTGTCTGCAGAATAATGTGCAAGGTTTAACAGTTGTGGTACTGGAGGGAACAAGTAAGGTAGGCCAATGATGGAAGTACTGTGTTCACACATCTACTTATCTACAGAAATAAAGCTGTGTACATGGCTGAMTGAAATACATGATTGTTGGGTCTCATAGGAATGTAGGTATGTTGGCCTGGTTGCCTTTCTTTTTTGTGCCTGAGAAAATGGCCCTAGTTGCAAAGCCTTCTACKTTTTTCTTTCCCACTTTGCTTAAATGGACAGAAAAGGAAAAAACAAGAAAATGTGAGATGGTGCCTTTTCTTCTTTCTTTTTATATCTTCCATTTTATAGAACATTAAAGAAAGAAATTGTAAGACATACTGCTTGACTAATAAAAAAWGCCTGAATGTTTTGCATCTCCATTAATAGTGAGGGTTGGGATTGCAGATGAGTCAGTTAAAGCTGTTCAAGTTGCATACWTTTAATTTTTGGTTTTTATTGGCTTTCTGAGAGCTAATTCTTAGGACAGATACCAATTACATTYATATAACAAAAAATCTCTTTTTGGTGATGACTACAATGTTGCTGTCATGAAATTAAATATTTCTGGAAATATTTTGTCCGCTTACTTTCCTGTTATTACACAGTGTTTCCCATAAAGGATACAAATGTTATTTCATGTTGATAATTATTTTTCAGAAACAGAAGGAATCCAATTGGAAGTTTGTGGAAGAACTCCTTAAAAAATCCACTGATGCTCAAGTAAGTGTGTAAAGGAAAGAATAATGAATGAGGAAAGTGTCAGGGATGCTTTCAGGAAAAGACAGGGSATAAAACAAAGTCCAACTAACAAGTGTATTTTTGGAGTTGTAGTGTTTTTATCACTGGTAAATGAACAACCTTGACATAGCTGAACTATGACAGTGTACAGTTCCCTCCTTGTTAGCAGTTCCACTTGCTTTAAAGTGCTTGTGCTTGATGCTAAATTGTCAGATAAAGAAAAAAGATAATTATCCTGGAAGAGTAGTATATGGCTACACAGACAAGATGTATTCAGAATAAGAACTGGATGCTTAGAAAATGTAAACCAGATACTGAATATAAGGATATCAAGTTGAGGAGACATGATGAAGGAGATAGTCAGTTGCATTGAAAATTCAGCTATATCCCCATCACAGCAGGAAGGTGACTTGCCTTGCTGAGCAATTTGTCTTACAGGCTTGAATCAAACTCTTACTGATAAGGTTCTAGTTTCTGAGCACTCATTTCATACCTTATCATTTTTCTTTCTGCAGAACTGTTAATGCAGTGCTTCATGGCCCAGAGGTCAGACTTGACCTCCTTTTAATATGCTTTTAAATATGCTGTTCATCAAGTTTTTAAAATAAGTTACGTGTAGCTCTGTAAATTTGTTCTGAAGTTGTGTGGTACAAATTGCAAATGTTGCATCAGCAACGCCTGTAAAAAGAATTTCTTTATTTATCTGTGTTGAAGAAAAGAATAAGGATGTTGATTTTTCAGTTTGGTCTGTGAAATTTATTTTTTCATTTGTACATAAAATTAAGAAAAATCCTGCAAAGTTCTGTTGTTSAAAGCAAAAGGGGAATCAGCTCTTTCAGTTTTCTTAATTATTTTTACTGTCTTGCTCATGGAGTAGCAACAACTGTAGTTAAAGCTGGAATATGAAACAGTATTTGTTACAGCTACAGTTTCTACAAGAAGATATTTGTAGTTGTTAGGAGAGTTGAAATGATAGCATGATTTTTCAGCTTTTTAATACTCTACATAAACTCTGACGCTTGGTTATGTAGTCTTTCAGCTTAAAAGATTAACTTTTTGAATGATTTTACAGTTTACAGTATTTTACAGTACATGACTAAAATACAAACTGTGCATATCTATTAAAACCACAGTGATGACATTACTTATTGGATGTGAGAAAAACTGGAGAGATTTAGATAAGATGCATAAAAACTGTGAGTAGCTGAGTAGCTAATTGGCCACCTTTCTGTGTTGYATTTTCTGTATGGCAGCAACCTGAGACTCAGTAAGAAGACATTTGTAGTTAACCTTTTTTTCAAAATAATCTCCTTTTCTTGTGAGTGTTTATTATTTTGAATAAGGATTACTTTGAAGCTGAACATACATAAAATACAGTTTTTGATGCTTCTGTTAAACAAGTATTGAACTGTAGACAGTTTAGAAAGGCAGCTAAGTGGCCAAGTTCAGAAGACTTGCATATTGAGTCATTCATGTCACAGTACTATGAAGCAAATATGTCTTTTAATTTCCAAAGGCAACCACTGTTGGAATTAAAACAAAYTCTCATTTTCCAAAAACAGTGTTGTAAGTATTACCAACCATCTAAGGAACCATCTAGTTTATTTCCTTTTTTTATTTGTTCATTATTTTTTCTTGCATTATGGAGTTAACTGCCCGAGGGAAATGCTCCTTGGGGAACATTAATTCCTATATGTGCACAAGTAAATGTAGTACTTTATTAAAAAATGCATCCTGCTCCTTATCCCTGCACAGCAGCTTTCTTGATGCTGTTTAAGGAGATATTCTTTTACCAGTAGACACGTTCATCTCCTTTGTTGATCTGTCAGCTTTAAGTGGCCACCCATACCTTTTGTCAAATCCTGTTGCGTCTCTTATGTATTTTTGAATCCAGAAAATGTAGGAATGAGTAACACAAAGAGATGACAAGAAGTCAGTAGTGAAATGGAACATGGAAAAGTGGGGAAAAGCAAAAGTGGTAATAGTACTTTTAGAATGAACAGCAGGACAGAATTGATGATACTGCCCTTTAAGACGTGGCATGAGTTTGTTAGTAAATCCTGTCTGAGCCATCCTTTTCAGCATGTAGCCTCTGTTATCTACTAAAGATGCACAGCAACAGCTATGTAAAATGAATAAATAATAGTGTTGATTCACCCATTTGATAGAGAGGGAAGGAATTGGTAGTTAAAAACTTCATTTTTAGGTATATGGGAACTTAAAAGCTAGTTATATTTAGTACTATGTTGATTAACCTCATAATCCTCTTGTTCTTGATAATCCCTAACTTCCCTATAGTTTGTAGACTGTACATGGTCAGAAGAAWGGCAATTTACATTGAATGGGGAAAATGAAGAAGAAATCAACTATGTGTAGTTTTGTGTGTTCAAAAGCATCTGAAAAAGGTGCAGAACATACATTTGTAATGTAAATCATTTGTAATTTGTTAATCTATCTGCTACCAATGATTGTTAATTTCTCTTTATGTGAGCTTCAAATTCTGTGCTGTGAAAAGGTGATTTAATCAGCGCAAAAGATGATTTAATCAGTTGCTGCCAGTGAGGGTAACAGAGCATCGTGAAGCAGCAGAAGCTGGAGCTAACTTTAAGAGCCTTAGGACAGCTAGGTATTGGCATAGAAAATGCCTAACCAGTGTTAAATCTGCAGCATTTTGATAGTTTTGGTAATGCTGTTGCTTTTAGTGGTTCACTTGCAGGCAGTAGAGAGCCTAAACCATGTTCATCCAGGATATGCTGGATTTTGGGTGTGATAAAGACCTCCTGAAGAAGGTGTTGCATGTCCAGGTGAAGGTGGTAGAGGGTTKCTGCAATGCCCTGTTACAGATAGGAACTGCATTAAGGTTACAGTGAGCCTGCTTCTGAGCAAGGAAAAGATGTGAAGGTACTGTTCATCTTGGGGATTAATAGACATGCAGAGCAAAAATACTCTGTGAGAAGGTATGAGCAATCATAGATACCTGGGAAAGTGTAGTGTGCTGCTCCCTTGAATATATATATCCTTTCAGCTTCAAACAGATGAGTTCTTCAGCCATGAATTGTGCTCTTTAAATTCTACATGGATAAGAGTTGAAGAAAATTGCTTATGTGAAAAAGCTCCCAGCTCTATCACTAAAAAAAGGGGCATTTTGRGGGAACCTAGTTGCATGAGGGGTTTCCTACTTTAGTTGTAATTTGAAAGTCTGTTCCAAGAGAAGAGAAAAATAAAGCTGGTTTACAATTCTATTTGTACTACAAAAYGAAAATTGTTGTAGTAGTAATATTATCATAACTGTATTTGTCTACTAGGCAACATCAAACTGACTAAATTTATGGGTTGTCAGTGTAAGAGGAATTTGTGTTTATGAAGTTTTATTGTGAGAATCAAAAGCTTTTTAGTTTGCAAGAACTAATAGCAGTCTGTCTTACTAGACTTCTCATTTTGGAAAAGAAATGTTTTGTGTTGTTTCGTTTCTGCCTCAATTTTGTTATACTTTCAGTGCRTTTTTTGTTTAATTCTATCTTAAAAGAGATAGAGAAGTATTTCTTGGATTTCTAGGAAAACCAATTTTGTTACTACAGTAGGAGGTCATAAGAGAAAAATGTTGTGTTTAGATAGTACTATCATTTTGATAGTATCTGGTGTTCCTCCCTTCTGTGATAAATTAAAAACTGACTACCTCAAGAGTTCTGATAGTGTTTCCAGCAGTGCAAGAGACCATTTTAAGCAAAAGAGCAATGAGAGAATCCATTAATCCCAGGGATATTTGAAGTCTGGRTAACTCTTCCATATTAAATTTGAGATAAAGCCTTCAGTGCTATCTTGCTTTTGGAAACTGTTCTAAAAGTATTGTTGGACAGATAAATAATGGTTCAAATTGAAGCTGCTCAGCTGTGTTTATTGTTATGATTTTTGAATTAATTTAACTGAAACAATCATTGTTTGTTGAATTAGATCCTAAACATAACCCTAGACACCAAATACAACTTCAAGACTAAGCATTCCCTTTCTGAATGGTGTGTGTGTTTTGTTTTTGTTTTTTGCTGTGGGGTTGGTTTTTTGGTGTTTTTATTTTTTTTTTTGTTTGTTGGGTTTTTTTACATCCTTATAAGTGGGTAGATTCCTCTAGAGAAATAGATATGCTCGGCTGCAGTTTTTTTTGTTTTACATCAAAACTCTTGTTTTTATTCATTGAAAACAACAGCAGCTGTTCTGTCCCTTGTTTTTGGTGCAAGGTAATTTTTTGGGAAGTCTACTGATTTAATAGTTATGTCATATATAGAAAATTACTTGAGTATCACTGTTCATTTGGAGGCATTTTTATTACATTTGAATTATTATTCTGGATATTTTAACGTGTCTTTACTGGAAAGTTACTTTCCTATTTCATTGGGGTTTGCATCTTATACATAACATCATGAACATATAATTTTGTATGGCAACTGAAAATGTTGTTTCAATTTTCAAGTTGTTAAAGGAATGTACCACTTTAGAAGCCATATGCTCTGCATTAATTGTTCATGAAAAGAGAAGGTAGGCATAGTTAGAAGTTATCATAGGTAATTGTATACTTGTTTGCAGTGCTGTGATAAATTGTAGCAAATCAGGCTTTCCACRTGAATGTACAGCCAAGTACAGAGAGACAAGTTAATGAGTGAGACTCATTTGTGTGACACTGAAAACAGAAAAATAATCTTCTCCAAGACATAGTAAGCCATAAGAAGTAGCATTAAGAGCAGAAGTTTGGAATGGTCCTTAAAGGTCATCTACTTCCCACTCCCTGCCTTGGGTGGGGACACCTTCCAMTAGACCAGGTTGCTCAGAGCCTCATCCAACCTGGCCTTGAACACTTCCATCAATGGGGCATGGAAGCTTCTTCTGGCCAAGCTACCCCCAGTGTCTCACCACCCTCACAGTAAAGACTTTCCTTCTAATATCTGGTCTAACCCTACTGTCAGTTTAAAGCCATTCCCCCTTCTCCTATCACTACATGCCCTTGTAAAATGTCCTGCTCTTGCAGTAACAGGTACTTACAGACTTTTTCAAACAGCAACAAAAATAACCAAGCAAGCAATCCCCTAAAAAACAAGATCAAAAAACCCCAACAAAACCCAATATATATAACCTAATGTTACCTTTTTCTATCACCTGGAATTAGTGATTTATTTAAGTAGTTCATTAATTGAAGCATTTTCTGAGGTGGGTGAGTTTGGGGCATTATTAAGAACCTATCACTGTAACTGGAATTGAAGGGGGTAATTTCTCAATCTTTATCTGAGGCGTTTATTCATTCCCCTTTTTGGGGCTTTGATGTTGAGTCATAAAATTCATCCTGTATTTTTTTTATATTTCTTGCCCCTTTTGTTCTCATTCAGTTTATTTTATTCTGTTAGAAATTCCAGGCATGTGCAGTATTTAGCTGTTATTTGAAAACTAGAATTAGGTCGGAGTTTCTCTTGTCACAGAACAAGTTGCTACTATCCCAGAGCAGTGTTAGACTCATTATGTAAAAGTCTATGCTTAACACAACTGAATACAAGTTGGTCCCTTGAAACACTTYTGCACTCAGTGGAGACAATAAAGCCCTTATAGGATTTATCATCCTAAAGTAGATGCCTAAAATAGGCTGAGTTAAGCGCATGATTTCGATCAGAACATGGAGCTCCTAATATCCTGCCTCCCCTGCAAGTTCAGTTTTGTTGTCACTAAAAGCTGCWTGACAAGAATTCCACTTTCATTATYCCACAATTACAACCTGAATGCTTCACTGGTTCAAATTGTTGGCATTTCCTATTTTCTTTTCTATGAGCCTTTTCAGCAGTCTTTTTTGACCTAAATGATTCCATGATTCTAGGATGAACTATTGCAYTGGCTAGTTTGCAGAGTGCAATTGTCAGCTTTTATCTTTTAGCTCATTGCTTGTAATAGCAGATGCATTTATTCAACAGTATGTAATTAAAAATAATTTTTATATTAGGAAATTACTTTGAATAGTCTGGTAGAATTTGGTTTATGTGTAGATAAGGTGACACTCCCCTCCTACAATTAATTTCTTGCTTCCTTTTCAAGGCTGGTGTGTTAGAGGAACACTTACGAATGCATCTTCAGTGCTGTTTGGCTTTGTGTAGTTTCTGGAATTTGAACCTATCTATTGTCACCATACTCTGGGATTATTACAGCAAGAATCTGGTAAGTMGTGAATATATAAAAATGTAGAATTGCAGGTAGGCAGTCCTTGATTTTTGCCGATTAATTCTGATTTTCCTGTATCCAAGCTTGATTGCTATAYTTCTGTAAAACTACCTAGTCAATGGCAGTATGCCTAAATTTTCTGTGTTTATTTAATGAAATCATATTTAAATTTGTTATGATCCATTCCATTATGAAATATAATATAGTAATATATTTTAACCCTTATTTTTCATCAGGACCACTCATCTTAAGATCTTGTAAAAATACTTTGCACACAGTTAAAATGCATTTTAATTTTTTTAGCTCTGGTAGGGACATATCCTTTTATTTGTATGAAGGARTGGAAGTGCGTCTTACTGCCTTTGGAATATTGGCATTTAGTGTAATTTATRATATTTTCTGGTTTCATCTATTCCTTTAGAACAGCTGCTTTACTRTTCCTTGGCTTGGTCTGAAGGATCTGGCAAATGTTAGTAAGACTTCCTTGTCGATGCTTGGGYTGGTGAAACGCTGCTGCTGCGAACAGGAGATCTCTTCTCTGTACAAGTCCAGCAACAGCTACTTCATTTTCCTCAGCATTTTGGCACGGATTATGAAAGAAGAAAATAACGGTGTGCATCCGTGGAAACAAATTAAAGGACGGTATGGATCTATTTAGCTTGTCTCTTTTTGTAAGAAGTGCAAGTGAGTCAGGGGCCCTTCCAGATACATGCAAGGCAGAGGGCAYTGTGCTCATGAGAAAATAAAAGGGATGAGGAACTCAGGGTGATTYGTAATTTGAAGAAAGCAGTTGTTCCCTGAAGTTTTTATTGCCAGCTGAGGCTCTAACTGGGTCCAAGAATCACCTTGGCATCCATAGCCTATGATTATTTACTTTGTCCCACTGGCCAGGAATTTGGTACTCTGGCAACGAGTACAGTGGTACAACCCAGTTGCCAGACAGATAATGTAATAAAAACACAGAAATTGTGTTTGAGCTGCATGTAAGCCATGTGTTGTTCAAGAACATACAGATTGACGCTTGCTAGACCTGCATTTTCATTTAAATATTTAATTTCTTTACAATGGTTTCCAGAATTTCTCATATTTTTGTGAAGATTTTAACTTTTTGCTTTATTTTGAAACAGACTAATTAAGTACAGTCAGTAGTGATATAAAAAAAATCATAAAATATATATGCTCTTTATGAAACTCATGATGTTTTAGATGCTTAATGAATCTCTAAGACTTCATTAATGAGATAGCACTTGTAATGATTAGTACAGACGTGTTAAATTTTTTTTCACTAGCTAGAGGAGACAGAAATAGTTTTGGTTTAGGGTTTTGAGTTTTTAAAAGACATTTTATTAAGTATTAACAAAACTGTAAAAATTTCATTAAACATTAGTAAGATCTTCATGTACGCAAGTAATAAAGGTTAAAAAATACCCATGTGCATACACACCTTACAAAGCTATGAGGTGTTTTTCTTCCAAGAAAAATCTTGAAAGATTTATCTTTCAAGATCAGAAAAGAACAGTATACCTAATGTCTTTGATACAGATTCCAACATTTGTTTCTACAAAACAGACCTGCWGTGATTTATAAATCCAAACTTTGGTGACATGTACAATGTCTTGCTATTTCTTAAAAATTTTAATTAACCTATTCTGTTCTTACTGAAATGAAATTATACTTACATTTTTGTGCTATTATAGCTTGTTGCTTTCCCTAATTTAAGAGGGGGAAWAACAATACCCAACACACAGTGYRTCAGTCTRCTCAACCGGTATTCATCATTTCTACCTTGAAAAAATCAATTACACAAGTAGCAAAATTTAACAGCCCACAGCTATGATTTTGGGATGAACTCTGTTTTCAGCAGCTAACCAAGCATTAATTGATGCATGAAAAACATAAATGCCTGTCAGTAGTAATTTACTACTAAACAACATTAATTGGATCTGCTGTAATTTTTGGTGGCTAGATTTGATAACCTCAACACCATTTYCAGCTATTTTCCAGGTGACAGAATAGGAAAACAGCACTTATGGATGTTTAACTACTGTATGTGCCACTTACTTTTATTTAAAGGTGAAGGATATACCCAAAGCTTTAAATATAAAACTCAAAAACTTAAGCAAGTAATATTCATCTTACTTGTCTGTTGTAGGAATGGTGACTTTTAAATAAAAGTCMACATCCAAGCAAAGTCCCAGAAAAAATGTCTTTGTACAAGATTTTTCCCTTTTGTCAACCACTTCTAAGTGTCAAAGTAGCAGTGCTTGGCACCATCAGCTGTGTTTGGGCACTCTCCTATAAGCAATACATATAATTTCTTAACAGCTTCCTCTCTGAGTGATTTCTCTTCCAAATGCCTCCATTTCTTTGTTTTCTTTCAAACCTGTTCATACCATAGGTGCACAATACAGGTTGATACAGACCTTGGCAAAGCACTGTGGGGAAAAGGAATTTTCTATCAGAAATCTTCTTTTTACTGCAGTCTTGTTTTGGGAGGTGAGACTTGGATTACAGCAGCGGTGACACTATAATGTAACAGCAGAAACCAGTAGCTGATTTCCATGTGGAAATGAGGAAGTTTCCAGGGAAGAAGTTGATGTACAGGAATGGTTTGCTGTTGCAAAGGAATGCCACTTGAGCTTTCTTTCCTAGGAGCCCTCATGGACTAAACTCGATTGATTTGAAGGCACAGTGCAGAGGACACCCATCACAGACAKAGTAGAGAGAGTCTACTCATAACATTGTGCTCAGCTTAGTAGTAGAGTTAGATAAGGGGGAAGGGTTAGGCTGCACCTCCAACTGGAAACTCTTAATGTGTACCTTCAAGAGCAGAAAATGAAAGAGTATGTTTGTTCCAATAGCCGTGAGAGTAGAGAGGAAAAAAAAAAAGATTATTTAAAATGTAAGGGTTTACTGGAAGGGGATAACTGTAGACTAAAAGCATGAAGATACAATTTTAGTCACTCAAGAAGATCAAAATTGCATACTTTAAGAAACTTTCTCTTTCCTGGATTGTTTGTTTTTCTAATGTAGAATTTATTCCAAGTTCCATCGGAAAAGAATGCAGGAGCTGACAGAAGTGGGGCTGCATAACTTTTTTAACCTGTTCCTCATGCTGGCAATTGTTGCTGAGACAGAAGATATAGTGAGTCGGGTGTTTGATCTTTTGGATTTCCTGACTCCATCCTCCATCACCATGTCTCGGAGAGCTCTCATCTGGAGAGGTCATTTTGCTTTCCTTTTAATTTATGTTGAGAAGAACATGGACATTAGTGTCCTAGCCGAGAAAATCTCAAATGCTTTCTGTGAGAAGGCAAAGAAGTTTTTAGTTTCCAAAAATGACTACACACAGAGACAAAATCTCTGGACTCTGCTTTCAACCTACATTGAYGGTGTCCAGGAAGTGTTTGAGACCAGCTGCTACCTGAGCCTTTCTGAGGAAAAGTTGCTAAATGATGGCTTTACTATGCTGCTGCCTGCRTGTCGAGGAGCTGAGCTGAGCATGGTCCTGAATTTTCTTCAGGTTGTTCTAGCCAGACTAAGGTAAGTTATTTAGTTAAATTGTGGATATAGACTGGCATTTTGTTTTTAGGGTTAAAATGTACTTCATACTAATTTTTTACTGAAACTGAGTAAAAGGAAAGAAAAATCTCTGAAAGGCTGCGAATGACATGTTAAATTTCAAAATTTACTGATACTTCAGTCCATATAGAATCTTTGAAATATTTCCTTACTATTTCAGGACATTAGTTTTGACATCCTGATATTTTGTTATTAATTAGTGTCTCTTTAGAAAGGCATCCAATTGCTACTGTTTCAGACAATATCATCTTTTCTTTGCTACAGGAAACTTAGACATTATTGTSTGTATTAATTACATAAGTTGGGGGTTGTTGTTTTTCTAGTTTTGTTTCTTCATTGAATGTATTCTGTTTTTCAGACTTCTCATTCTATTTTTTTTCTCTTTCACCAAGGTTGCATTCAAATGCTACACTTATGGAGATTTAAATACTTGTCTGGGGTTCGATAGGAAAGAAGGAAATCATATTTTACCACTTTCAAGCAGTTTTGCTTTGATGTACTAGTTCATTTTTCAACATCCACTGTGCCCTTCAATAAGCATATTTTTTGTCTACTGATGCCTTTGAGAAGCAGTCCTCCAGTTTGAAGCCCAAACTGCTTTTTTTTCCATAAGATATTAAGAGGCAGCTATTGATCTGCCATTACTTCAAATGTGCAAGACTGAAATATGTGTAAAGAGCTGTGGAAGAGTGCATAATAGGAATACTGAGGCCCATATGCAAGATCTCTCTTTAACTAGGTTCTTTGTTATTGTCTAGTAGTTTGACTGCAGCTGTCAATAGCTTATAGATCCAAAGACAACTGTTTTTCAGGCAGTCTTTTGAAAAAAGATGAAGCACAAAACTAAGTTTAGTTGATTTATTATTTATTATTTCAGTTCAACTGAACGCATTTCCTGGAATAAATTGGAGACTTCAAAAATACTTTGACATTTTCTCCATTAGCTAATAYACAGCATTTGTTGTGTTGTTTTTAAAGATGAAATATGGAGAAATTTGAGACTGAAAAGATTGCCGGTTTTATAATTTGGCATTATTTTTAAGCTTTCCAGGACTTGGGCTTATGTGGCCTTCTTGTAACACAGAGAAGAGGGCATGAAAATTCAGTCTAGATTTATCAGGTCATCAGAGACAAAAGGTCACAGGACAGTATTTTTTACCTTTTTTTACAAAAAGTAGTTCTGCTGAAATATTTTAATTACCARTGTGCTCAAATAGTATTAATTGGTTTGAGAGAGATTTTTTTAGAGCCTTGCTTTTAACAGTTCTTTATTTCAATTTCTGTGTTTATACATTTGGTTACTTTTACCAGTCTATTTATACCATCTACAGAGGAACTAAATTCCTTAACACTTACAAAACACTTTGACTTTCAGGTTGTATGGAACACGAAAATGTTAGTGATTTTTCTGCTTTGACAGACTCACTGAAAACAGTCCTGTTGTCATGCAAGTAAAACAACACTAAACACACKTTTTTTGGTTCAGAAGATATGGATGASTTTGTACTAACCAGATGTTAAAATRTTACAGACTTGATCAGACTGATTARGYCTGGTCTGTTTTCAAATTCAGAATAGGATTACATGCTTGATTTTAAAATCCAGTCTGATAAAAGATAGTAGGGCTTCCATAAATGTAATTTTTCTATACACTTCACTCTTAATAATTTTATAATTCTATGACAGGGAATTTACAGGTAGGAAGGAAGTGAGATCACTGATTAAAGAGGCAAGCAGCTCCCTCTAGGCTGTTAGGAAATAATAACTCCATGTGTCACTTTCTGCTAACCCCTGATGATGGCTCACAGGAGCATTCTTTATTGCTGATTAAGTAGCATTATGAAAATACTGACTTGGTTGTGTTAACTAAATGCCTCAATATTTAAAGCTTAAAATGTCAAATAGTTTTAGCAGTCCCCTTTAACATACCTTGTTGGATTGCTAGAGTCTCATTCCAGGTTTCCCAGTTGTTTATATTTGAGTATACTGTAAAATTCTAGTCTTTCATTTTCAGAGCGAGGTGTAGCCAAAAGCTCTTCTTTAATTATAGCTATTCATGCTGCTATGGTTAAGGGTCTGTCAGCATTTCCATTAKAAACCTTTATTTTCAAGGGTTTGTAACAGCAGTGAAAGCTTGCTCTGGGCTAAAACTTGGCATACAAGGGTTTGAAAGTGCACTTGTTTCCTTTCTTTTTTCTTAAAAGACTTACGAAAAGAGACCCCTGCCTTCACCATTTTTACACTACAGTGTTTTAAAATAACCCTTTCCAGCTTTTTCTTGTATTTTTCTTGTCTGCTAGAAAAGTACTGGTAGCTTTTGATTGCTGTATTTACCTATGGTTAGACTATTTTAAATAAGGTTTCTTAAACTGTTTTTTATTGACTGTTACCATTATTATTTTGGTACCCATATATTTAAATAGAATGATGTCTTGGCAAGARAACTCATTTTTATCAGTTTTTGATATGTGGTGAGTGGATAATTGGAATCAAGATGCTACTTGTTGGCACTTGCAAGTATTTGATCTTCCTAGAAAGATTCACTATGAAGTGTAAGATTATATCTTAATACAGTCTTCTTTTTAAAAGCATGTAAAATAAGGAGTGAATAATCAAGAAACTCCCCTAAATCAAAATGTAAAGTGCTTCCTTCTTATGTTCACTTGGAGTATTCAGCTTCTATCTTAGACATGTTTTTTCCTTTATTTTTTATTTCTGTTTTTAAGCAATGGTTTAGAATCCTGATTTGTTTTGT